AAGTAGACTTTGTCCCAGTAATTATAGACCTCTGAGCTTGTCCTGTCCATTTTCAACCACTACAGTGCCTGCTCATCCAGCCCATACTTCATCAGTTCCATAAGCAGATCCTCCTCCACTGAGGGCAGTTCTTCCTTGCTCCAGACTTTCTCAATGAAATTTGTCTCAGATTTTCTATATTGTCTAAGAGGTAGGAACTTGTATAACCTCCTGGGCTGGAGCCTTAAGCCCTGCTGAAGTCCATCCACAAAGTTCATCTGCCATAAACATGCAGTCTCCTATACGTGAGTGGCTACTGGTTCTGCTCAAAATGTCAGGAGGAGCAGTGGTGCTTCCCACTTTTTGCTTAATGTGCCAGCATTTAGAAGTTTCATTTTGAGAAGTGAAAGGTGGGAATTAGAGGTTTTACATGTTCTTGAAAGCTTCACTTTTTAGAATACCCTAAAAATGAGGCTGTAGGTTTGGCTGGAATGTGACCCTTCTGTGTCCTTTCTGTGCATGTAACATGTACATATATGGAGAAATAAACTAGAGGAAGCTTAACTGTAATGCTCTGTTGATCATCCTTGCCTGCTGGAAGAGCAAGGGGGATCCCAGATTCTTACCCCTAGAAGATGCTTATTTTGTACTAAGGACCCACAAAATTAGTTGCATTAATAGAACTTAGAGAAAGGATGGTGCTTCCTGAAAGCGTGTTTTCTTCCTATCTGATTTTGCTCTGAAGTTTTACTGAAGACATTCAATGAATAATTAAATGCATTGAAGATTTCTGCATATCCTATTATTATTATTTTTTAATTTGGCAGGCATAGTGATGCTTACTTGCTGAATCCAGCTAATGAAATGTGCAAGAACCAGTACTTTCTGACTCACTGGGGTGACAAACTTGATGTTGCAGACTGTGTCAACAGATGTGCTCTTTTCTCTGAATTAGCAGTAGAGTGATTCCTGTATTGCAGTCTAAGAGGGTATGGCATTACTTTACCCAGCAAGAAATCATTTCTGAATGCTTCTAGTTACTGACTGGATTATGCTGGACTATTCAAGGAAGGTGAGATGCATTATGGTTCCATCCTTGTTCCTTTGCTCAGGATTTGAAATTAGTTATGTGCTCTACCAGCGGGCAGTGGCAGGTAGTGAAACATTGCTGGCTGCATCCTCAAAAGCTGTGGAAACATCTGTTTTCAATGTTCAGTGGGAAATTCAGGGAAGGAGCATGGCCCTGAAATTCAGATCCTCTGCGGCAGTCATTGGAGCAAGGATGAGGCTAGAAAGAGCAAAGGAAACATTTCTTAGTTAAGGAGAATGTGATAACTGGTTTCATTTCTCCACTGAAAAAAATGTGTGAAGTTGGTAGCTGCGGGCTCCTTGAGGTCTTAAATAGTAATTAAAAATTCTTCCTGTGTTTTCCTTTCAACAACTTAAGTATATCAGCATTGTCTAGTAGATTTTCAAGCCCTTAATCAAACAAAAGCCCAAATTTTAAGTTTTTTGAAGTAACTCCACAAAATTGTCTTACTCCACTTGGCAAGAATTTGTTTTCTGTCAGAAATCAGGTTATCTTCCCTGCTCCCTTGTGAATGATGAGCCTGGCAAAAAACAAGGGACAAGCATGGTTGCCCTGAGAAAATAGCCGATGTGTCTAGCAGAGGATGTCTGTGAGCTTGTAATTAACTGGTCCAAAGGGAAGAAGTATGGGGAAAGTACAGAGCTTAGCAGTAAAAATACACCAATGCTCTCTGTGTACTATAACCGCAAATAAACAGTAGCTCAGACTCTAACAGGCTTTTTACAGTTCTCTGTCAGTGTCCTGAGATAACCCCAGTCTTCAGCTCCAGCTTTTGCCAGACCTTTGCCTCGTGTCTTACAGCAAGAGAGGAGATCTTTGTGGTGGATTTATTGTACGTAGACGAAGTCACAGGTGATTTCTGTTGTTCTTTTGGGAAAACAGCACATCACTCTCAGGAATATTTTACTGCCGTGGTCTCAAGTTTAGGAGATATTTGTATAGTTAAAGAGAACAGTTTAATATTCATGTATTGCTCAAGCTACTGTTGAACTTGCTCTTTATGAAAGGCCCACAAAGGCCTATGATAGGTAAGCTGGTGGTTTGCGTTGATTAGCCTGTAAGCTGGGCTTTGTGACTCCAAGGAATTTGTCTTTTTTTTTCCCCCCTCTGGTGATTAGTGAGTTCTGGCAATGTGATTTAATCCTTTCCTTCTTTCTGTGTTTTCATTCTACAAAACCGTCTTATTGTACCAGCTGGCATTTAAGATGGTGTCTTATGAATGCATCCCTTCTGGGTCTCCCAGCCTTCTTGGGAGCTGGTCAGCTTACAGCTCTCAGAAAGGTGCTGCCTCTTCTATTGGCAGTCTGGGCTTCTAAGTGCCTGTGTGCTAATACATGCAGTGTGGGGAATAAACTCAAGGAATTAGGGAACTCTGAGCAGTTGTGGGGCTGTGGTCTTGTTGAGATCATGCAGAGACTGGAGTGCTGCAATGGCTGGATATAAACTCTTCAGGTTTTTTGGACCAGATGGACCTCCAGAGATCCCTTCCAACCTCACTGTTCTGTGATACGCATGTTCATGACTTCCCAGAGGTTATGCTTTAGAGTTACAAGTGCTTTATTACAGTAGCATATAGAGAGAATAAGCATTTAGCTTTCACTCACACAGCTAGACTCTTTGGTGCAGTTGATAATGCTCTCCTCCTAGGATGCTCTGTCATGGTAAAGCTTCTTCGAAAGAGTAAGGTGAAAAAAAGACCAAACAAACCAAGTGACAACTGTACAAACTACCAAACCTAGATCTGGATTTCTGAGATTCTTGTTTTCCTTAATATGTTTCTTGAATGAGGGGAAGTGAAAGAAATAGTTCCTGAAGCTTGCACTGAGCCAAAGATTCCTGGGTGGAAATATAAATCCACTGAAGCTAATAGAGGACAAGAGAGGAAATGAGACGAGACATGTTAGATGTGATGTCAGAATTCATTGTATGTTGAGGTGTCTTCATTGTTTCAAAGGCTTTCTTTTATTTATTTATTTTTTAGCAAACACTGGAAAATGATCCAGAGTGAACTTGGTGAGAAAATGAGTTCAGCTATTTGTGCTTCACTGTAACAAGCGTGGATGGGAATGTAATTTCTTAGTTTAGCTCATACAGAGTGGTGGAAGGCTTCAGTACAGTTGTCATGCGCTTCCAGGGGTACACAACTGGTGTAAACCTCACTTCTGCTCCCTCAAGAATTGCTCAGCTGATGGTTTGCTCTGTGGCTTTTGGTAGTAGGAGTTGATTCAGGCATGTTCTGCAATCGTTCTCTGGTGGTCAAATTAGACAAATATTCTGGTTCCTTCTGACAGTTTGATTTATAAAGTTATTGGCTATTGTGAAACTTGCCTACTCCACAAAATGACTGAGAATTTATACTCTAAGTTAAAGGTCCTGTTGTGTGCAATACTTTAAAAAGTAACTTTTTTTTTGTAATATATGATGCCTGTTACATGTGTGTATACTTCTGCACTCACAGCCTCCCACCTACTTTTGTACTGGCTTTCTGAATGCCTATAACATTATGAATCAATACCACTAAGTGAGTGTATTACCGTAATTCCTAAGGTCAGTGATTATAAAATGAAGAGTATAACTCGTAAGAAGTACTAAATAAATACAAGTAGGGATAACCTGGAAATCTAATGATAAAAGCTTTTGGTTATACTTAGGATGTACAGATCTGCTTTACCTGTATTTTATCCATGTTATCCAACTTATTAGTCATTTGTTGTTTGTAGAGAAATTGTTTCCAAGTAAAACGTCTTTTGTAGAATAGAGGTTAATGTTAGGATTTAGTTTTACAGTATTTTGGGGCAAATCTCATTTGTTTTGAAAAAGTGTGTCTTTGAAAGTCCATGAGAATGGCAGGAATGATGGATCAAAATCTTTGTCATGTCACTATTTTTCAAGTCTCCTCATATCTGCAGGGATAGGGATGACTTAAGAGCCTTATTTTTTAGGGCTTGTTTGTGGGTGTTTAGTGCTGAAGACCAATATTTATTCAGATTTCAGCCAAATTTAATTTCAAAGGAAAATGAAGCAATTATATTACCTTATGCATATATCAATGAAGACCTTTCTATTTTTCATTTGGATACTCATGCTTTCTGTTCTGTAAAAGAGCTTTGCAACTACTCCAGCTGATTTCAGAGGCTTCTTTGTCAGTTCAGTTAATAGTTCAGTTAATAGTACAACCCATCTGTTTTACAGGAACGACCGGTCCTAAAAATAAGAACTTTTAAAGATCAGTGAGTTATACTATGAAGTTAAAGAAGCTTACTGTAGTACTCAACCCAGAGTCAGCACCTCTGGCACTGCACCTCTCTGCAGTGCTGCTTTAGGAAGTCACTCCTTTAACTGATGAACATGTTAATAAAACATTTGATTTCTCTGGTAATCACGTGTTTGTGCAGTGAAGAAGTTAATAATTTCTCTGTAGGCTCATTGGACTTAAATTTCTGTGATGTATTTCTAGCATGAGGGAAAGTGCTTTCCTGGTTACGAAGATAGAGATTAAGAAGCAGTTTTATTCATGAATGGTTTAAGAAATATTTTTGTCCAGATGTTTTGTGTGAAGACATTGAATTCAGCACTTCTGACAAATCCTGCTTCTCCAGAAGGGAGCTGTGGAGCTCCTATTGGATGGGAGCAGCTCAGGGTTTTTATTCAGTGAAGGATGTGATTGTTTAAAGAGATGCTGCATTCCACAAGCAGTTCTGAAGACCACAACAAAGGCTGTGTCCAGTGGTCTAAGTATCTTTTTCATTTGTTTTCAATAATTGTGTCCTCAAGTTGATTTTGCTTTCCTGGCTGTTCTGATCAAAGCGTTTTCGTGATAAACTGACTACTTTACATTTTGGCTTGTCTGCCAATCCAAATAACAAGAGAGACTGTTGCTGATAACTGTGTAATTTTTTTTTTTTAACATTCTTCTTCTCTCTTCCAACAGGCCATCTGTAGAGAAGAGGAAAAAATGAAATACCTATTCTTAATATTTTTCATGAACTTATTGCCACAATATGCTGGCAAGTCTTTGAGCAGAGATGGCAATTACCCAAAAACATTTGAAGACATTAGAAATGAGATAGCTGGCTATTATGATATTGCTAAAGCTATAATTGACCTTGCTGTTTACGGAAAAGCTCAGAACAGATCTTATGAAAGATTGGCTGTTTTTGTTGATACCATAGGACCTAGACTAAGTGGTTCAAAAAATCTAGATGCAGCCATCAAGTATATGTACAGTGCCCTGCAGAAAGACGGGCTGGAGAATGTGCATCTGGAGCCTGTGAAAGTACCTCACTGGGAAAGAGGAGAAGAGTTTGCCATGATGCTGGAACCAAGGAATCACAGCATTGCTATTTTGGGACTTGGGAGCAGTGTTGCAACTCCTCCGGAAGGTAATACTTATGTTTTAATGCCAAACTGTATCATACCTCTAACAGTATTTTCTCTCAGTGGACAAAGTAAAGTTTAATTCCTGCTAGCATGGTTCTGCAGGACACAGTGCTAATTTACCAGTACTTCTATGCCTGACATGGTTGTGGTGCAGTCTGATGGTTCAGTTTGTTTGAATGGAGCTGTAAAATTCCAGTTGATTCCTGACCCTCCTTTAAATCCGTACTTTGACTTGAAAACTCGTTTGCAAACATTCTGCTCCTCTGCTCAGGATAGTGGGCAATTTGGTCCTGTGATATGGGCTTATCTGGCTGTTCCTTTTTTACTGGGCAAGGAGACTTGGAGGGGTTGAAGGGGGGGGCAGAGAAAACCCTTCTAGGTGGGGTGCTGAGCTGACATGTGATTTCTGCTCTTCTTGCCATGCTCTGCCCTGCCAAGCTCAGTACTCCACTCTGGGGAAAAAAATAAATAAATAAATAGATGTCAAAAAGAAGAGTAGAATCTTGTGCAGAGCTTGCAAAGTGCCAGCCCCTTGCTAAGCATGGCAATTGGTGTTTATTTGCCCTTCCTTCTCCCCGCTTCCTTCTCCTCCTTTCTACTTGCTGTCTCAGGTTTGCATGGATAAGTTTTTGGCACCTGCTGCTGAAAAGTGTGCTGCCTTTGAGTAGATCATACATGATGTGCTACTTCAGGAACAAGAATGATCTTTAGAGCTCAGCAAAAAACAGTCTTTTTCAGCTCCCAGAAATCATCTTGCTTGCTAATGAACTAGTTTGTAAGACTGTCTTTTTGTACATGTAAGTGTGGGGCTTTCTCAGGATTGCTGTGTAGAACCTTCTTCTGTCTGGTATAAATAATAGTAGACTTACTCCTAGACAGCTTCAAATGCTATCATGTTCCTTTATAAGGAAAGAAATTTAGAACTTAAAAGGCAACATTCTATCATAGTTTTCTTACAAATTGTACATTTTTTCTGATAGTGAGCTTTTTGATTGAAATGAAACAAATTCTAGGCTTTTTTGTTTAGAAAAAATGCATAGTCCTACAAAATATGACAAAATAAAATGGTGACACATAAGATATGCTTGGAATAAATCTTACTTGCTCTGAGAAACTGCTGCTGTAAGTTTTGTTGGTGGTATTTCTGCCTTACTCAAGTAAATTGCCTAAAATGCAATAGAACTGAAACCATTAATAATCTCTGTTTGAAGCTTAGTGCTTCGGCAGAATATTTACAGCAAAGGCTAAACCTGCAACTTACTTTATATCCACTGCACTCCTATTCCGGGCTTCCTAAAACACAAGCTAAAATTAAAGTGGTGCTTTGGTGTTAGACAAGTGTTAATGAACCTGTAAAGAGAACTGGCAGTTTAATCTTGGTGGACATTTTCACATTCTGGGAAGTCTCCTTGCTGCTGCCTTTCCTCAGCTGTGCGCTCACCTGCACTCACCTGGGTTTGCCTTTTGTTTATTTGTTTTTTTAATCAACGCTCACAGTGGCTAACTGGATCCTTCTTCCTTTGTCTTTAAGCATCTTATTGTACTGATGATTGAAGATTGTTTTCAGTGCTGGTTTCTACTGTCAGATGCTAGAAATGCGGCATCATCTTTCTTCCTTACCTTTTTTCTTTCCTTCAAGATTGGCTGTGTTTCTGAAGAGGTGTACATACTGGTGTGAGAAAGCTGGATGGTAATCAGCTCTCTTCTGAAGAGCAGACAGCTTCTTACACGTGGTGGAATCCTCCTGAGGAAATTACTTAGTTTTCACTTAAAACCTACCCTATTGTTCGTGGCTCTTTAGATTTCTTCTACCCTCATCTCGCTGTGTGGGAGCTGTGGCAGGTTGCCATGCCCACAGCTCACCAGCCCCCTGTAAGCCCTTGGCTCCTGCTATGAGGGCTGAGTGGCCACAAACTGACAAGGAAGCCAAGGGAAGCCCCCAGTCTCTGGGAGCTGGGAGGTGTGCTGCTCAGTAGGCCCTAAAGCGCACCTCATCTTGAACATGGCATGAAAATCATATGTTTAAGCTTTTTAAAGCCACTGCTTCATTGCTTCTGAGGAATTTATTCCCAGATTCTTCTGCTTTAACCAGCGATTTTCACTCTACCCTTTTCTTGAGAAACAGGGATAAAAGGCTGACATACAGTGCATTTAAAATATTTGAACCATTTCCCTCAGTCAGGGAATATCTGATTTCTCTTGTTTTAGCCAAGAAGCTGTGGGAACGTGAGTCATCTTGTAATCAAAATAATGCAACTTGATACAAGATGTTTAATGCTGATTCTGCTGGCATAGCATTGCTGTTGCTGCACAGTGAGGTCGTGCAAATCAGCCATGCTTGGTTGTGCCAGGAGACTGAACATTAGCTGTTAGATGGCTGCTTTTTGGTCTGATCATTACTGCCTACGGTCTGGGAGCTGTGCAGGCAATCCCAAAGGTGCTAGGTGTTAGCTTAGAGGTTGGTGTGTGTTTAAATCACTGTATTCCCACGGGGGTATGTTTCAGACATCTCAGTGCTCAAAATGCTGTCTGTAAAGTCTTGACAGAACCCTTCCTTCTCGGCACTGCTGATCCCTGGTGACACCAAGGACAGCACTGCTGAACTCTGTCCTTTAGAGTCAGTGTGACGGCAAGAGGGGGTGACCCCACCTGTTCAAAGGTAGGCACAAGAGGCTGTGTCTTTTGCATCCTCTCGGCCATTTTCTGTATTCCTCCTGTTCCTTTATGTGCCACCAGTCATGAGAGTCGATGAGCTAAGAAAGTAGGAAACACTGGCAGAAGATTTAAAAGCTGATTCTCTTCATGTGTGTTGAGTGTTTCATACTGGACTCTCCACATTCCATGTGTGCCCATGAAGTTCTTCCTGGAGCTCTGCTTCCAGAGCTGTCTGAAGGGCTCTTTGTTGAGATGGCAGTACCGTAACAGTGGTTAGAAACCTGGCTTCGGATGTTGGAAAGAGAGGGTTTGTTTTCCCTTCTGTGTATGGAAATTCAAATCTATCTTTCCTAAGAGTAACCAAATAGGCAGAACATGCTAAGTTTGCTCACTTTCCATTTCAGCGTATGCTGCAAATGCGTGGAAAAAAATCCACAACACTTGGAGAAAGAATCAGGAAGCCCTCAGTAGTAGTAGTATTTTTGCCTTGGACATTGAGCCAGTGTTGATTCCTGGTTAAAAGGGGTGCTTCACTTCCTGCTGGTGTTCTACCTAACTCATGCCTTTGGGACTGAAAGCCATATGGGACATGGACAGAACTTTGTCCATGTCTTGGATTTGCCTGGATTTACCCACTTTGGCCCAGATATGAGTTTGGCTCAGAGCTGCTTGTCTCACTGGAGGCTGAGACACTTCTGATGTGCAGGATGCTTCTTAGTACCTTGCGATCTCATGGATAAAGTCCATGTTTCTACATCTTCTTTTTCAGGACTAGGCAATGTGCCAAGATGTCAAATTCCGAGATTCAGTCTGATTTGCACAACAAAAAGGGCACGGTGGGAAAGATTATAATTTTTAGCTAAGAGAAAAAAAAGCTCTATTCACTTTTAATGTATCCCAGGATTTGAAGGTGTTGGGTCAAAGAGAAAGTTTTTTCTTCCTTTGGTCTTGTTACAGCGAGGAAGGAACTTTCATGCTTGTCGTAGTGCTGGGGAGAAGAGAAACATGAAATGCAGAATGACCTGGATTTCTAGAAGTCAGCAGAGACTGAAAATGGTTACCACCTGAAAGAAATGTATTCCTAAGTTACAAACAGAATTAAATGTTAGAAAGTGCTCAGTTTAGGGGGCTGAGAAACCAGAGATTTACCGTACTTAGTCAATGTCCTTGTCTTGTTTCCAGTGTTTCAGCATTGGCAAAACATACAGATATATATAGAGAGGTTGTGTTGATTTCTGGTAGTGCTGATTATATCCCCAAAAATCTGAGCACAACAAATATAATTGGTGCTTTGAGTATCCTATAATTGAGGAAAAATAGTAGTTTAGCAGATGTTTGACCATAAAGTATCAAAGAAATCTTTTTTTTTTTTCCATGTTTTTCAAAATGCACTTTGTTTTTCCTGATAGTTGTCTGACCCTGACATTTCATTTTAAAGAACTACCGACAAGGAGAATAAACTCCAGAATGCATCCTGTCCTAAATGCCTCTCCTAGAAAGGAACATCCTCTGGTTTCTCTGTACTGTTTGTAGCAGTGAGACTGAAATTAGGTGAATGTAAAAATGATACATTGGCAGACTTTTTTCCTAGTTTGTTTGTTAGAGTTGTGGGATTTTTGACTATCAACAACATTTGGTCCAGTCTTGCTCTTACAGAAGGTAGTGGGAGTTTTGCCACTTACATAATAAGAATTTAATTCCAGACTGTTACTTATAAAATAGTAATGATAATGTGTCATGAAGCTGTTGAAAGAGTGGATCATTGCTGTAGGCTCAGTCTTTTCAAGCCAGGGATGCTGCTGAAAGTAGTGATCTGGCCTTGGTTTTGTCTGATGTATCTTCCCCCAATGCTGACCTTCTTGTTTCAGTTCTCAGCAGTGAAATGAATTAGGAAATTCAACTGTATTAACAGAAGGCCAGCAAAAAAGGCAATTCTGATGTGTAACAGAGGAATTACCCCTGAGTTGCCAGAATCTTAGGTGACCACTGGTCTCCAAGGAGGAGGAAGGGACTCGGATACCTGTCATGATGAAGGGTTCACTGATGTGGATGGAGAAAATCTGAAGCTTGAGAGAAAAGTGCAAGACAAAGCACTGCTTCCACCTTCAGTGGATCCCCGTTTTTCAGTGCATATGGTGCAGTTGATTCATATTTTAAGATCATGAGAATAAGTCTTGAATGCCTGGATTGCTTTTTTCATTACTTAGAACAACACTGTGATAATAACACTGCTGTTTTTCTTGGAATGTAGAAACTCCTATCCCTTAAGGACTTTCGGTGCTGTGGTGTTCAGCAGTCTGGCATCTGGAACAGAAGTTAGGCTGGTGGCATTTTGAGGATATAGAGA